TTCTTGGTGCAAATATATGTGTCTATGTCAGTGTGCATCTATGCCAACTGTGTTAAGTGTGCTATACCATAGTAAGAACATAACATTCTAAGTCTTAGCAAATCCATCATGCATAAAAAGAATGTAACATAGTTCATTAATAATTTAAAAATTCTGTATCCTGAAATAAGTTTGGATATATTAGGCCAAATAAGTTATAATTAAGAATAATAATTTTTCCTAGCACTTGAAAGGCTAAGACAATTGCATTGCCATGAGTTTAAGGCTATCCTGCTCTATATAGTGAGTTCAGGGCCAGCTAGGATTTCATAGAGTAGGACTCTGTCTCATAAAAGTCAAACTAACAAAAGATAAATTTTCATTTTATTAATGGATTGGTGCTAGACATTAGACTTCATGTTCAACCAGGACCTCAAATATACAATTTACCACTAAGCTGCACCCCTAACTCCCAACCTTTCCCTTAATGTGGATACTAAGAAATTTAAAATTACCTACGATGATCATGCTGCATTCCTACTTGACAGAGATGCCCTGGTCAGGGTCTTTCTGGGTGATGACACAGTCATCAGAAATGCTGGGACCCAGAGGGAGCAAGCTGTGAAATGGATGAGGTCTCAGCATTGCAGAAGGCAGGTACAAGTCACTGCGGCTATGTCAGGATTTTATTCTAAATGGCGTAAGAAGCTGCTGGAGGATTTTAACAAGATCGTGTGCTGCACAAATATGAACATGAAGCTCAGATGTTTACAGACCCTACTAGGACCATGACAGGAGCCACTTGGCCATTAAGGAAGCTGTCAGCAGCACTGAGACCAGAGTTCATTGTGGCTTGAGCCAAGTTAACATAGTCAGGGTCAGGGAATGGTAATTGGCCTCTCACATTTTGTTTTAATGTATTTCTTACAAGGTCTCACTAGGTAGCTCAGACTCATAGTGATTCTCCTGTTTTCAGCCTCCCCAGACCTGGGATTACAGGTGTTCCCCACCACACCTGGCCTTGGTGGCCAGCTCAGTGAGACTGGGGGACAGGACTGGTGTGGGATGTGGTGCCGGGATCGAACCCCAGTCTCTGCACTTGCCTAAACAGGAACTTAGTCCACTGAGCTATCTCACTGGCACTCTCACACTTTTTAAAGAGAAATTTGTTAGATTTTCTGGTAGATTAGCTAGGAAAAAATTATCAGGGAAAGGTCAGATGTAGTTTCAATTCAGTAAATATTTTTCAAGTGCTCACTATGTAAAAATACTTGTCCATAAAAATGCTTGTCCTTATGTGTCTAGATGGTTTCACTCAGTGCAATGAACTCTGGGATCATCAATACCCTCACCGTTCCTTCTCTTTTAAGGCTAAATAAAGTTCATTGTATCTGTGGATGCACAGAAGAAAAAGAAAACCTACACGATTCCATTCATGCAATGTTTCTAACATAATCCAATTCATAGAATCAGAGAGAAAAAGACTTATTGTCAGGCATTAGAGGGAAGGGCAAGAATATTGTAATTCAATGGTACAAAGTTTTTAGTTATGCAAGATGACAGAATTCCGGACACCTGTGCTTCACATAGAGCATATAATTAACAATTTGTACTCTGAATTCAAAAAAATAAGAGGGAATATCTCATGTTTAGTGTTCTTATTACAAAGCCCCAAAAGAGTGTAAAGTAAAGCAAAACAAAAACCAAGCAAATGAAACTAAGAGGTACAGGGACACTTTTGGAGGTGATGGATATATTTTTTATTCCAAACAAGGTGAGGGTTTCCCAAGTATATGCATTGGTCTAAACTCATTCATTTAAATGCATTGTGTACAGCTTTTCAATTTGTCATAGCTAAATCTGGGAAATGAACCAAATGCCCATCAACTGAGAAATGGATAAAAACGATGTGTTATTTTTATACAATAAGTATTACTCAGTTTTAAAGAGAGGCAATCTTGAGTCCTTTGTAGGTAAATGGATGCAACTAGAGATCATACTCACAAATAAGATCAGATATGTGTAAACATCCTATCATATCCCTAGTGGAAGAAACTGAAAAAGTAAATAAATAAGATCCAAAAGGTGGTGCAGGAGGCTGACATGAATGGAGATGGCACCGTTGACTTTGAAGGTAACTATGGGAGCAGCCGCTGAGGGAATCCACTTCTGACTCCCTGTGTGGTTTTCTAGGTTGGCCACTCTTTCCTGCTTTGCTCCAATAGCTACAGTGAAAGGAAAACTGCTCAAAAGGAAAGAACAACTGAGACAGGGAAAGGAGAAAAGAAGGGAAAAACAAAATGTATATATACACACACAAGATAGCTGATATAATTGTACTACTAATTTTTGTTACCTTATTGGAAGTAGCAGTTCATGCTTATATTTTTTGGTCAATTTTTCACACCTATATCTGGTGATCTGGACAACTACTTTGAGGATTAAAATATGCAATGTAATAACCGTGGATAATTTCCTATCATCTTGTTTTGAAATTCTGTATCATTTTCCTTGGGTTTTAAAATTCTCTTTAAAATAAAAAAGCATGTGCAGCTTTTTGTATACCTCAATAAAACTGCTTAAAATAATTAAGAGATATGTAAACATTTAAAGAAACCCTTTTCTCAACTTGTGGATGTTCTAAGTGGACAATGTACCCTCGGCACTCAGACTGGTTCCTAACCCTCAGGAAGAGATCCATAAACAAGGATTATCACTGTTGTTGTCATCACGGACATTGCTAATTCAGTCTCCTCTGTTTCTGTTCAGTTTGACGCCAATGGGGACGGGGAGATCACCCTGGGGGAGCTGCAGCAGGCCATGCAGAGGCTTCTCGGGGAAAAGCTCACACCCCGGGAGATTGCTGAGGTGGTACAGGAGGCTGACATTAATGGAGATGGCACTGTTGACTTTGAAGGTAACTATGGGAGCAGCCACTGAGAGTATCCACTTCTGACTTCCTGTGTGGTATTCTAGATTGGCCACTCTTTCCTGCTTTGCTCCAAGTTTGAGTTTGGAGGCAAATGGTAGATTTCAGAATTGTTCATTCCATCCCTTTCTGACACATGGTCAGAGCTCAGTGTCTCACTCCTTAAGGATCATGGGAACCCCTTGCTCAGAGGCCCTTATTCACCCATAATCAGGACTCACAGTCTCCCATCTTTTCCTGGTTCCCTGGGCACCTTGTGTCATAGTAACAAAGTGTCCCACCAGAAGGAGGGTTGGCTGCCTCTTAGCTGGCACTCTTGGGTCAGATTCATGGGCTTGAAATTCAGCATCAGTTCCTACTAAACAGGTGGCTCTATCTGTTCGCCTATCTTTCTTTTCATGTTCACTTTCACAACTGCAAAATGGTGGCAAGCATGACTACCTTCTCTCCAGGTTCTCTCAACCTTCTTTTTGTTTTGAAGAAAACCAAAAGAAATATTGCGTAAAGGTCACAGTCAGAATAACAGAAATCTATTTGTGTTAGATTTCATCACTGTCCATGTCATGCTTTTCTGTCTAGAGAGCCATCCTTTCCCCTGTTAGATCAGATTCATGTCTGTGGATATCACCTCCTACCCATTATATGAGGCTCAGGGTCCCTCTTTGTGTGCCTCTGCAGAAACACTGAGCTATGACATTGCAATAACTTGGAAGTGTTTATTTCCTATTTTTCTCTGAGGCAGTACCCTAATTCTCATCTCATCATTGTAGCCCCAGTTCTTGGCACAGAGCTCAACATGTGTGTATTGAATAATTGGATAAGTGAAGAAGATTAGACTTCTGTGTGGAGGGGAGTGGGAATTATTTCTGTGAAAGGCGTCGATCAGGCATGCTGAGTTCTAACTGTAACATTCCCTGGTCCAGAGCTCAGAGTCTAGCTGCTGCCTATAAGCAAACATCCAAAATTTTTAGTCAGCGGTTCAAATGTATGCATCATTCAGCCCCAACCGCCCATCTAACCATATCATTTATGACTATCCATTAAATTGACGTGTTTTAGTGCAAGCAGGAAATCAGCACAGTATATCTCAGATTTGGTCCCTTTGTAACTGATGTTCTGTCCCCTTATTATACCTTTAGTTCTTGTGCTCCCTCAAGGACACATGCCAACCACCCTTTGCTAAGAGGTTCCCTTTCCCTTAGCTGAGGGTGTAACTCCCAGGCCCGGAGTCTTACAGAAGTTTCTCATTTCCTCTTCATGGATGTGGTCTTGCATTTGCCTCCAAGGCTCTATTTTCCTCCATTGCAGAGAGCAGTTGGAAGAGTCTTCTCTAAAATCTGCTGTACAAGTCCCCAAATAGGAATGTAGTAGATGTTAGGAATTTTCTGGATCTAGTGAGGCTGAGCTTCTTAATGGACATTAATGAAAGTCAGGAAAAGGTGGAGATGGGGGTGAGAAACAGATCTTTACGTGACTCACAGACCATAAAAGGATAGGGTCACCTCAAGATGTGGTAGAGACAGAAAATGTATCAGGCCTTGAGTCGCAGTGAAGTCTAGGGCAACCTATATTCCTTCCAGTGTTTACCATTCCTGGTCCACATTCTGTGAGGTTACTTTTATGGGTCTTGGTTTCTTTTTGTGTAAAATGACACCTCTTCAGGATGGGTGAAAAATTAAGATACTAATGATTACTATTTATAGAACACTTAACCTGTCTTATGAACATTATGTCACTTAACCATCTTAAGCACCACATGTGGGAGATGATAATTCTATGAGACCCTTTTTGGAGATAAAGAAATGGAGGCATAGAGAGGTGAGGACATTCCTCAAAGATCCATGCCATTGCTTGGCACACAGGAAATATTCATAAAATAGCATTGGGTGTGGTACAAAGAGGCACTTCATGGGAATTTTTTTTTTTTTTTTTCAGAGTTTGTGAAAATGATGTCTCGCTGAGCAAGGAGGCCCTGGAAGCTCCACATGCTCTCTGCCTGGCAACACGGATGAAATGCCTGTGGAAGATGGAACTCCCGTGGCCCCTTGCATGGCAAAGTGTGGAGGCTGGAAGGAGTGACCCTGCGCAATGTGGAGAGGTTACAGAGAAGGCAGTGGCTTTGCAGTATGGGGTTGGGAGGCATCCAGAAAATTAGCTTCAGAAAGAACATATGTATGAAAAAATGAGCATCTTAAGACCCTGTTGCCATTCTAAAAAGACCAAAGATTAATATCATCTTGTTTCCTTCATCTAAGATCCCTAAGTTCCCGAGACCTGGCAGAGTCCTTTCCCCAGTGTCCCCTTCACACACAAGCCCAACAGTGTCCCCTGGATGGTTAGACTTCAACCTTTGTAGGAGGGAGCACACCATCCCTGGGGATAGAATCTGGGATCTTGGTACTGCTGGGCTTGGAGAGGGTAATTAGGAGGCTCTCAAGGGGAATTTTCCTGTATTCCTGCAAGCACAGTCTATTTTTTCCCCTGTGACCGCTCACAGCCCCTCTCTTGGTGTAAGATACTCAGGGGAACTGAATTAAATCACAAAGCTGGATTATGAAGGTTTAGGGCAGTTGATCCTCCTTGGGGAATTAATCCCCTACAAAATATCATGATGGGAGGAAGAGAGAGAGAGAGAGAGAGAGAGAGAGAGAGAGAGAGAGAGAGAGAGCTCTAAATCTCCTGCTTAGCTAGATGACTGCAAAGCCATTCTCTGAAGTCACCTGCCTCCACACTGGTTCACCCTGGGATGCTCTAGAAGAGTGTCTGTGTGAGACAGGAAGTGTGCTCCATCCCACACATCCTGCTGCAGCAGCAATGCACAGTTTCTCAAAATAAACACTTAATTGCATGCCTTCTTCCAAGTCGCTTCTCACTTTGAGGTTCACAAAGTAGATCTATAGAATGGGTTGACTGGTACAGTAGCCTTGCTTCATACAATGAAGGAAAATGTGGAATCAGAATAATACATTTTCTAACCTGTTTATGTGACAGCTTCTCGTGCAATTCTTTAAAATCCTGGGACAATTTTAATTTATTTTTTTATTTTTTTCCATAATTTTATTGAGAAACAAATAGAAATGAGACAGTTTCAAACCAAATTGGTAGGACAGTTTCAATAATTAACACATTACATACATTCTTCCTAGTGGTTAAT